TTGGTAACGTGTGAATAGCTGAAGGAGACTAGAGAGCTGTGTGAAGTGTCGACCAAAGGCAGGATTCTACCTGAAGTTGATTCAGACTGATGTGAACATATGTCCTGATGTAAATATGTAAATAACAGGCAGGTGTACACACCCACGCACTAATGCACAACAACACAGCAAACACTGTGGCTCAGTGTTCGCTGCACTCAGGCATCACAGCACCTCCCGACTGACGGCTGTCGTTTCTACACAACCGTCACTTTGCATTTTACCGTACGAGCATGTGACAAACCAACACTCTTACACCCAAAAACAACAAAAACACGGATCTCAGTGTGAACTATGTGGATATTCTGCATCTTCTCATCTTTTTAAACCGTTTGTTTGAAGCTTCGGTTTGCAGCAGCAGCAGCATCATCCAGCTGCTTCATGTGGAGGCTTCAGCTGATGACACGATGCTTTAACCCACACAGGAATGTAGCCGCTATTGTCAGAGTGTAGCTGAGTGTGTGTTGAGTCAGCAGGTGAACACACAACACACACACAACACACACACAGACACACACAAACGCACACACAGATGCACCACAAACTAATCATTATTGTTTGTGTTCAGGTTCTGGACAGCGACCGCTTGGTGCTGCAGAAGATGAAGAAAGCCGCGAAAGCCAAATACACATCAGGACAAGGTACACACACACACACACACACACACACACACACACACACACACACACAAGGAAAACAAACACACATGACTCACTAGATTGGGGCCAAACAAAGCAATATTTAACCGGTCCGTCTCAGCACAAACCTGAACCCGATCCTTTGTTTACGTTCACTGTCACACAGTAGCCATAAATGTAGAAATATTGTAATTAAATGCAGTGGTATTAATCAATAATTGATTACTCTGCGTTACTAATTAAGTACTCTGGACATTTGTTCCTATTTTAAGCCATGAACACATGATCTGAGGCGACGTAGTTGATCCCAGTTCGTCCTGAACACATGAACTCTGGTCGGAGGTCATTAAACGTCACATTAGTCTTTGTCATGTCGCCCGTTGGTAGTTAAACTCTCACAATGCTCTCTGCTGCCAACATGGACCGCTTGTAGAAAGAGTGACGCCTGCT